TAGGTACAGCATCTCACCTCTCGGTCCAGCCAGGCTAGCAGTGAAAGCGAAGGGCAGGGCACCAGGCAGAGCATCCCCAGGAAGCGAGGTCAGCTGTGCCGGCCTGGACGCAGACACCCAGGAGAGCAGGGCTACTCCCCAGAGGGGTTTCCAGCGCTTCAGACGCGCGGCCGGCCCCATAGCTGTAGCAGCGTGGTGGCCGTGCTGTAGCCACGGGTCACGGAGGCCCTTGGAGGACTGGGAGTGACAGGACACCTCCAGTAGCTTTCTCACCTAAATGAAGGACATGACACGGGGCAGTATTCAAATAGATTTAGCGTTTCCAACAACACACTAGAGATCTAATCACTTATACATATTCATTTTAGGATAGAAAAAGTGGTAGAGCAGAACCTGACCCTAAAAAGAAAGCCACTTTTAGGTCCATCACCTCCACCCTGGCCTCCAGCTTCAAGAGACGTAGGTCCTCCAAGGATACGGTAAGAGGAAGAAGAACAATTCTGCCCTCTCTCTTTCTCTCTCTTTCTCTCTTCTGCCATCCCATCGACTGCCACACACCCATCCCGAAGCTGCCAGTGTACATGCATAGCTCATGTTCGTCACCAGTCAGTCAGTGAGTCAGTGAGTCAGCCATCCCGTGTACCTGAAAGGATGCTGGGATCCTGGAGGGCAGGCAGGAGGTGGCTTGGAGTCCTGTGATGAGTTGGGAGATGCAACCGAGTTTTTGTTTTGTTTTTTGTTTTCTTTTTGCCTGGATGATTTCTGATGTTCCTCTCTGTGCTTTGCTCACCTTACCGGTGCTGCCCTCTTGAAACCGATGACATTTTTTTTTTTTTTTCTGTTCCTGAGTGTTCCTGTACCTGTTTGTCATTGTATGCCTAAAAACAATCACCCCAATTTAATTTGGGCACCGTGTCACCTCACCGAGAGCCATGCGTGTCACATTCTCTACATGTGATTTTTGTTTGTGACGATTAGCATTCGGGACGTAGTCCTCGGCACAGGAGTGACAGCTGTCTCTGGTTATTGTCAGCAGTAACGCAGCTCTAGAAAAGAGACGCAAAAGCTTGAAAGAGGAGGTTGTTAAAGACCCAACCTCGGTTCAAACTTGTGTTTTCTGCCTCAGAGTAAAACTGCTTTCATGTAACCAGAGAAAATTTCCAAATTGCTGCCTCTAAAGCCAGCTGTTTCCAAATGTGCAAATGTGTCTGCTCGTGCTGGAGCTTCAGACACTCTTCAGCGTCAGGTTGGGCTGTTGGTCTGTTGGACTGAGCCGGTGTCCCTCTGCATGTTGCCGTCTGTTGTATGACACTCTGCACTGTGGCTACTCTGTTGTCTCGTGTGGCAGCGGCCGCCGCGTTTTGCTGCCCGACCTCCCGGCGTGACGGGCTTGCCGAAAT